GATTATTGTGAGTACTGTGACTGCATCACGATTGACAATATCCAATTCGATTGTGCACTAGTTCATAAAGACTCAACGGCGTTTGCCCTGAAGACTCAATGGAACAATGTGATATGACTGATGCTTTCACGAAAGGAACTTGACGAGGGCAGAAGGCAATGGAAGAAATCATTGCACGATCGCTGCGTTGATGATAATGAATGCGAAATAACAATGCTGAGGTTTGCTACGGATTCATACTCAGAAGGAGTTTGACAGCAGCAGCAGCAAGACGAGCAGACAACGAAATATTGATGTGGTGGTGTACGTATGCGTGTGTCGATGAAGGAGTGATGCTATCGGCGCTGCTGAACATTCTTTTATAACAACGACGTTGATGTGATACGTTGAAGGAATACACTAAGNGAGCTGTTGTAACGATGAAGTCTCGAACTTTTCGATGATACCAGAGTAGTAGCGATGGGCACAGAGACAGCAGCAGCAGCAGCAGTATCGCAGCGCATCACCGAACCATCCATCCAACACAACAAACCACAGAATCACTGAAATGAAATGAAAGGATACTGTGTTTGTGTACTTCACTTCTATTATTCGTTCATTTTATTCACTCTCATACTCTGCACATCCATATTCCACCAGCAAACACCTCTCATGTTTGCTCTCATCAATTTCCCTATGTATTTCACTTCTTACTCTCATTCTATACTGTCGCATTCTTGCCTGTCTGTCTGCCTGCTGTGTTAGTTGCCGTACCAGCAGCAAATCATTAGATTGGCTGGTTAGCCGTACCAAACGATGGGTTTTTTTTTGGCAGCGCAAACCAAACCAATATCACATTTTTGAGGAAATAGTACGTGAAAAGGTGGATAGTGCAGCGAAGAAAACAGATAGAGGTTATAAAAATCACAAAGAAAAATGACTGCGTGCGAGCGAACGAATGCAGCAGTGGAGTGCGTGCCGGACCGGATATCGCACGGCATGCAGCATAATCGATTTTGCCATTGGACGGATGTATAGATGTGTGGATGAGAGGAATGAAGCTGAATGATGACTGTGTGCGTATGTGCGTTCTATTACAAGAAAAGAGCCTTGAAATTCAATAGCGAATATCACAATTTGTTCAGAAGTCGCATCGGCTTGCTTACCATTGGTTGATTTTCGAATGAGTGTACGTTCAAAGAGAGAGGGAGATAATAAACGAATGAAACAGTACTGTGAACGAAAGTGTAATTCGTATGTGTGAAGCGATATGTAATGGAAAAAGATATTGGAACTGTCCTAAATGCAGAACCGATTTCGTGTTCAGATCATCAATTGACTTAGATACTTGATGAGGTGAATTCGAGAGATGAGCATTCATCAGAATGGTTGTGAATTCATGGATGATTGAATGCTGGTGATGAGATGAGAACGGACTATATTCGCTGGTTCTTCGGCGGGCGATCAATCTTTGGGAGCAAATTTATATGCGTCAGAAAGTGACAGTATGATTGGTGGACGTATTGGTATGTGATAAGACATGGAAGGATTGAGTAAGGAAAACGATAAATGAAGTTGATCAGTGCGGAGAGTCATAAGTGACATTGATGAGAGGTAGAGGCAGCATCGTCGTATCAGAATGCTCGAATTGACGACCACTGACGCAGACAGCCAAACAATCAGCCTTATGTATTAACGTCAGTAAAAAAGAGAACGAGACATGGGCAGTTCTATATTTTGCCATCGGATCAATAAGCTCCATGAATGATATCATAACGATACGATGCTGTCCAGCATCGCCCTGCCTCTCGTCGACAACCACAAACTTCACAACCATAAAAAATCCGGCTAAAAGCAGACAATATTGACACGAGCAGCTTACATCGAGTGCTCGCATGCAAAATTGAACAAACTTGCAAACCAACTTTGCATTGAAGCACACGCCGAACTACTTCCATTGTGTACACAATCAATAATCGATCACGGATAACTATCATCCATCTTGTTGCTGATTCAACTTGCTGCCGCTGCTGATGTAAAATCACTGAACATTGCATTCTTCGACTGATTCGTTCGAAAAATCAATTCTGATCAATGCATGTTCATTGTGCAAGTCGTTTGATCGTTCGTTCAATTGATGCGTTCCAGCAGGGCTAGTTGCTCAGAGTTGCAGTAGTAATATTTGGTGTGAATCATTCGTGATTCAACTAAATAACTAAAACAATTTCAAGAACAGCCCGAAATGGTGATTTTTTGCCGTTCCGAACGCAACTGAATGCGCCCAAACAATGCATATGAAAAATTTACTTACCACAACTCCGTCTGATGTTGGTGAAGTTTTCGGCGCGATATTGGGTGTGTTAGAGTTTTGTGGTTGGGAGTTTGGTGATTCAGAACGAGTATAAAAACTGGGACTGAAGCAAGTGGCGTTACCAATGTGTGACCGATGTGTTGATTGAAAGAAACGTCTGATGAGGCATTCTTATCGAGAATTCGACGACTACCAAAAATTTTTGTTTTTCGTGATTTTGCAACACAAATATGTTCATGAGACACTAGTCCTTCCATTGAGAAGCGAACTTTTTTTGTAAATTCCATCTTCGAACGCTTTACACAACACTATTCAATGCAATTCAAGTGTACTGGAGCTGAGGAGTACGCATCTGATTACTGTAAGAGGCAGAAGCAACAGTCATTCAAATGGAATGAAGGGATGAAAAGGATTGATTTGCAAAACGCACCCTTTTGATGAAATTTGTTAAAGGGTGTTGTCTTCAAAGCTGCTGAAGTGTGAGAATATCGATTTGAAGCAATTGAAGTTCTGTAAAAATTATAATGAATAATCTATTCGTGTTCACATTCGAACTAAAAAATGGTCGTTTTCAAAGCATGCAAAGGCTCATCGATAAAAAAAAAGAGCCCATCACGCTTCACTGCAATAGTTTTTTTTTCTATGAACTCAATTGGTTACTTTTATGCCTAAATTAAGATTCTTCGCTCAGAACTGATAACGATTAATGGCATTCACGCAAAAAAAAGATGTGATTTTGAAAATAGCATTCGTTGGAACACGACGATAGAATGAATGATGAAATGAAAATGATCGACAAACAATACACAAACGATATTGTGATGCACAAACACGGCGCTAGCTGATCGTAGTCTTCGAAAGGATATCGCTTGAAACGATATGAAGAGGCGCTTTCAATAGACAAATCTTTATCAGCTGCACTTTAATAAGAAACAGTGCAAAGCAACCCTGCAACAACCGATTTCGGATGACTTTTCGAGGATGATAGTCATCATTCAGTTGTTCCTGAAACGATTACCATTCTGAAGTTTCGATGACAATTACAAATGTGTTCGCGTTATCAACTGCAGATATGACCGATTGATGAAGCACACACTCTCGCACATATCACAGCAAATCGAACAGCCCTGTAGCAAGAGCAATCGCACAAATCAACAGTACAATCGCACCAGTCCTCCTCGCTAAATATGAAACAGCACATCTGTCTTTGTTGTAGTAGTAGGCACATACTCGTCTCTCTTCCACTCCTATATGCTCGGCCCGACGCAGTTTTTTTTTGCACTTCGCCTCTCAGTTGTATGTAATGAATGCTAGTTTGAAATTAAAATGAATTTCATCCACTCCAAAAGCATCACCCGAAAAAAAGCGGACTTTATAGCCGCGTCGGTTCAGTCGCATTCTCCATCCAGCGATTCTTCGTTCTTTACTTCACTACTTTAACACCCTGCTACAGCATATCATCACCAATCAACCACCTACATCCATACGCACGTACGCCAGCACGACCGTACCAATCGCGCTGATCGCTATAATCACTCTTCAAACACTTCATATTCACGTACAAACCAACCACTCAATACTTTTTCTCTGCTAAGACATCCTCCTTAACGAGATTTCAATTCCGCTGTCGTTTTTCTGCTTCGTGACTATGTTTCGTCTCGTGCACAACTACGTTCTGAAATTATTCAGAAAATCTTAAAAAATGATGACATGAAGCAATGCATCTGTTTTTAAGCTTTTACTGTTAGCTGAATTCTCTCAAAGACTCAATAGCTCTCAAAACAATACCAATCGAGTGGCAACTTCAACTTACGCCTATAAAACANGCTGAATTCTCTCAAAGACTCAATAGCTCTCAAAACAATACCAATCGAGTGGCAACTTCAACTTACGCCTATAAAACATATAAAATAAGTTGACGCACATCCCATAAATGCTTTCGAAATGAAATTCACCACTTTATAATACCACCACCACCACCATAACTGCATTACTGTATTTTGTGTCTGCCCGGAATATTCATGCATTCCGTTCACAGCTGATGCTATCCTGCTCGTCCAACGCTTCATAAAAGCCTATTTCACGTATTTCCGGCAAATCATTCACATAAAATTCACACAACTCGACAACATTTGTGTACGGCTGCATTGTGCTCAAGATGATTTGTGCAAAGTTGTTCAATAACTACAAGAACAAACCCGTTTTGCCATTTAATGTTCTGCAACTTTCGATTGACGCATACCGCATTCTAGAATACTATGACATGCCTAACAGTTAAAACAACCATGAGCGTATTTTTATTGAAATGTCAAGTGTATGCCGATAGCTGTGGTTTTTTTCCTTTGGTTGACGCGTCAGCTGATATCGATAGCGGACGGACATCTCTAATTACTAGCATAAAACAGGAACTTGAAGGTTTAGTTTGTGCATCTTGAAAGTTTATTTTAATTGATACTACTATACGGATCCTCTGTCGGTTTTTGCTTGATGAAGTGTTTGAAAAACGTTTCCATTTCTAAAATAAATCTATCCATCAATCGGATTCGCCGTTGCTATTTTCCTCGTTCAATATTTGTTATTGCCGCAGCAAAATGAGTAAACTCCTCAGTGAAGCATTTGAACAGAATCACTTCGAATGGCCCAATAATGAAAATGGCTTCACTGTTTCCGCTCGAAAAAATAGAACAATGTGCGGATATAAATTATTCGAATGGATGAACGCAGAGAGGCAGAGTGCACTGCATCATCTATCGATCCACAAGAAGCAGCGAGTTCAAAGGAAGGAAACCTGCATGGTGTATGTTGTGTGCGTGTATGTTCAGATGAAAAAGCTGACTGGCGTGGGCGTCGTCTAATGCAACGACGGCAAATGAACGAACGAGCTGAGATGAGGTATAAATGTTTACTGTAGTATGCTCACGTTCGCATTAATTATGCACACACATGAATATATTGTCTGATCGACTGAATACGTTTTTCTAATAGCAGAAATGAGGTTTGCTTTTTCTGTCGAGAATGTTTGGGCGATTGCGATGTTTCGAAATAGGAAGTGAAGTAAGCAGGTGACTGATTCGATATAACTAAAAACATCAGCATTCACTCCGTTCACCTCTTACTTACATGCTGAGCCACTGTGATTAATCCACTAAACTTTCGGCTGGTCTATCGGTCTGAATGGGTTTAAAATCTGATTAGTCAAATGGAATATTCAGGCTCGACTGTTGTTCCACTGAATCTATTTCATTCTCATTTTCAGGTAATCTCAAAACGAAACGATCAGTCAGCAAATAGCAACCCCCTTGTACGTGAAATTCAAACTTTCTTTAAACATTGTAAAATACAACTTCACAAAGAGCACTCTAAGAGATCGATTGGTGTTGTACAGTGCCTGTTCTTGAGGAATTCTCCTCATTCTCATCCTTTTCAAACCGAACAGCACCCAGAACAGAAAAATAAATTTCCAAAATAATATCGCCAAAAATCCGTTCTTCTATTTCACTGAATCGCTCTCAGAAAAACTGCTCGAAATGATATGTACATGAGCATTGCTTTGTTCGATCGAAGTGAATGTGAATGGTTGGTTACGTGTGCACGTTAAGATTAAATCAGGGTGTATCGCAAAAAAAAAGAAACATCGCAAAA